TTAATCAGTAACTGAGTTTATAAATCAGAAGTAACTAATAACTAAAACTAGTTACTTCGTTTAAGTAAGGTTACCAGCACTGAATAACATTAGCTGTCCATTGTTAGGGGAATAATGTTAGCGCGCTAGTTATACTAGCATGCTAATGCTAACATGCTAATTTTAATATGCGAAACAGATATCTTGGTGTTTGCAGGTTAGTTCAATCTAGAACTAATGCTTAAAGCCGTGTCTGTTAGAAAAAAGTTTTAATAGCAGCAGTGGTGGGATTATTTATACTCACTCATGCTTAAACTACAGTAGTGTAATTATTATGCTAACATTATTATGAATAAGTGAGAGGGATTCAACAAAAACCAACTGAGAACAATAATAAAGTCAACCAAACCAAATAGCATTGATATTAGCAACTATAAATAAATTGAGCGCATATCAGAGGAATTGACTCCTTTCTCACTGGGCTTAGAAGGCTGGATGTCGACCTGACGCTACAGATGTGGTGAATTTTAATGGAATATAACAGATATTTATCCTGTTAAGCAATGTTTTGGCCTGAGGTGTCACTTACTAATGCCTTTTAATCCCTACAAAAATTAACAGGCAATGTTTAAAAATGTTTGTGGGCGGAAAAGTTAGATTTCTTTTATTTTATATTTTATTTTATATTCATTTATTCTATTTACTCACTATAAAAGCTTTCATTCAGTCTGTTTCACTTGTAAGGCCACACAATTCTCCTGGGAGAGGGTGTTTGTAGACCAGACCTTCTTCCCTAAACAAGCCAGATTCTTTCTCAATGTTTATTCATAACATGTTACTGTTAAACCAAAGTGTCTGTAATTTTTTTTTTTGACTCTGACTATTTTCCATTGTTGTAAGGGGAACACACTCTGTCCAGGCAGAACAGGGCTGAATACAGAGCAGTAAGGGCTGTATTTGCAAAGATATGAAAATAAAGTGCCGACCGAGTGAAATCCATCGATCTGCGTTTATTTAACTTGGGTGAATAGTTTAATACTTTTTCCCACTATACATTTTTAACTTTACTTATTACGTCCATTATGTTTAATCTGAGTGGTTCACCTTTCAGCAGGGCTGTCTGGGTCGATGTAGGCGATGAGAGGAGGTGACGACAAAGTTTCCGTGGCAAAAACTCCACCTTGAAGCTGCAGGCCAAACCCCATGATGCCGTCGCCTAGCAACGTCACCTCTGTAGTTTCTGTGTGGACCACCTGACCGGCGAGGCCGACTGTGCTGGATGCCAAGGACACTGCAGAGGAACATCACAGTCCAGTCACTGCCGACACGTTTCCTTTCACACAGTTTAGTTTTTCATGGCAGGAAGACTCACAGGAACTCTTGAAGTCCTTCTTCTTGGCCTTCCTCCTCATCATCGTGCTGCGAGGACTCGTGGGATACATGTTCCTGGGCAGTGTGCTCATATTGAGGGAGGAGAGACTGTAGGCCGACATGGAGCCGGGAGAAAACGAATGGCCGAGAGCTGCAGAGAGATGGAGACGGAGGACATGAGAGGACATCAGAGAGACGGAGGACATGAGAGACGCTCTCTTACTCAAAACAAAAACAAAAACAAGGAGAAAAGACGTACGGGGGTTGTTTGTATGGCGGTTGTGGGATCTGGCGCCTGATTGGTCAGGGTGGTAGGTGTTGTAGTGGTAGGGAGGGAGGATGGGGGCGGAGCCTCCGGTTTCCCAGGGAAGGGGGCGGGGACTACGCTGGACCTTGACTGCACATGCATACGAGCACGAACATGCACACGGAGCAGGAAGGTAAGGTGAACCCAAAAGGAGAGAACAGAGGTCAGCCGCCAGGATGGGTTTCAACAAACAGCAACACCTTTTCATTTCAGCCCATTTAATCCTAGAAACATGTCATAGAGGGAGAACTGCCTCCCATTTCACCGTTATTAAGTCATCAGACACTTTTCAGCCTCCGTACATCTCCTTTAAAATCACTCTGAGGTTCATTCAAGGCCTCTTCAGAGCGCTGAGTTTGGTCAGGGCTCATTAAGCTTGATGTCTGTGTGTTTACACCCTGCTGGGGGACGTTCCACTCCACCTCATAAACACTTTGCTTCTGTAGAGCTCTGACACATTAATTGTAGCTCCGACCTGCCTTTAGGGGGTGTTGGTTTTAAATCTAAAGGCGTTCTAACATCTTTTCTGATTGGAATGGAAGGGAGGCTGCGGTGTTGCTGCGTTACCGTGCTGCGGTGCGTTCAGGGCCGGCCGCGCCTGGTGTTGTGGCAGGATCTCCATGCGGACGGTTTGACAGGAAGCAGAGAGCAGCTGAGTGGCTTCAGCCAGAGAACAAAACTCCATCGACTTCCCATCAACAGACAGGATGTGATCTCCTGCATGGAGAGCTCCACACCTGGGTGTAAAGACCATGAGTGTATAAACCTCTAAAATCTATATGAATACATTCATAGGACTATATTTATTTAAGAGCAGAAGGTAAAGACAGTTTAAATAACAGCTCAAAATTAGCCTAAATATACATTAAGTTGAAAACTGTATTCAAGGAAGAGGGTCAAACTGGTACCTGTCTGCTATACTGGCTGGTTTGACCTTGTCGATGATGATGACCTGCTTGCTGCAGAACATGGAGGTGGACAGAGCCACGCCCAGGCTGGATCCTGCCGCCTTGGCAACCTCAACCAGCAGTGGCCCCGACGCCGTGGCAACGGAATCTATGAGAAAGCAAAAAAAAAGTCCTTCATATTCACTGGTTGGCGTTAAACAGGGTTATGTCCTCGGTGACATTCCTACAGTCAAAATGGTTTTATGATAATAGCTTTTAAAGTCGTAGGGAAAACGCCGATCACACCGTTTGTTCCAAAGTCTCCTGAGTGGTGCCCGACTTTACACGAGTGAATAAAGTTAATGTGATTGGTCATTCATCAAGAGGGTGGGATTGTTGTGGCGGATGGTTCACAAGCAATTTTGATTGTGGCCTGTGTCTCAGGAACATTTTGCTAACCAGTTAGCAACTTAGTGCTAGTAGGTTCCTAATGGGAAATTCCATTGGGACCAAGTAGCACTAAATTGGTGACTTAGAAACAACACTGTCAAGGAACGCTATGGACAGAGGAAACATGCAAGAGGAGGAGAGTTTAGTGTCGGAGGTCGTGGATGAGTCTCCTCCATCATACATTTTTTATTTAGAGGAGGAAATCGGGATGAAGTTGTTGTGGAAGAGGACGCCAGGGCGGCAGAAGCTTGGTTTGGTGTAGAAGGCTTACAGCCGTACATGCTTGAGCCCTTGCCTCCCAACACTGCCAGTTCTGTTAGCTCTACGCCTGCTGAAGACACAGACGTCCATCCCCGTGAACACTGGGACAGAACTCAGTGGGAAAGGAAATTATTCTTATTTCAACCGTTGTGTATATTAACTGTGACATATGAATCAAGATGCTATGACCGAAAAAAAAATTGATTGACAGATGACTGTTGATATATGATTGGCTGAAATTAGGTGTTCAGGCTGACGTATAACTAACTGGCCTGCATAAGATAACGAAAAAAGCCCCAACAGATTTTAAGACAGGGTTTGATTTTAAAAACAGAAATTTTCTAAATTTTGGGACAATATCATCTGATAAAGAGTACATTTTTATACATGTTTAAGACAGAATGATTTTACATTTAAATATGATTTTGTTACGACTTTAAAGTTACTTTTCCAGAACAAAACGTAATAAATTTATTTCTATCTAACAAAAAACAATATAATGTTTGGGCTGGACCGCAGTAATGAAAATATAGAAGTTATAATGAGGTTTATTCTATGTGGAAAATAGGTACTTCATATGGATTATCTCTAGGACGACAAAAACATTATTCAGTTAAATGAATTTGCAAACATAACAGGAAAGACAAATCTTTTAAAGCTGCTAAAACACATAAATGTATATATATATATATATATATATATATAAAAAAGTCTGAACGCTGATTAACTGTTAACTGACCCATCACGGACACGTCATACTCTATCAGCAGCGTGGCCTCCTGGCCGCACTGCTTCAGGATGCTCATGGCCTCTGACAGCGTGCTGCCATGGAGACGAATCCCATCTATGCTTAGCAACCGGTCGCCGGGCTTGATGGTCCCCTCTCTGCAGAACAACAGCAGGTTTTAGTTTGACAGAAGCGGGAAAAAGTCCGGGAGCTTATGGAGTCGGTACCTCTCTGCTGGTCCGCCCGGCCTGATGGTCGTTATGACGATGGGGCGGGTCTTGTTGCGGTCCTCATGTGTCCCACCTGTAAGATTGTGCTACTTTGTTATTTGTTTTTTCTTTTTCCTCACCAGATGAACTCACAAACCGATCCAAGCTCACCTCTGATGACGAAGCCGAAGCTGTTTCCTTCTTTGTGAAGCGTCACTTCCAGGTTCTTAAAAATGACGCCTGACCCCTGCACGGCTGCAGCAGAAACACAGCGGTATCAGTCATCGTCTGCAGCAACGTACTAAACATACAGTGCCCTGCTGCTAATACCCTGTTGGGCTTTTTCTAACTTTAATAAAGTTAACAACAAACATTACTGTATTTTATTGGGAATTTAACAGACAAACCGAAATAAAGATAAATAACTGATATGTGTAAATATTTCCTTGCAAAAAAAAAATCTGAAACGTGTGGCATGCATTGAGCCTCCTGAGTCGGTCCTGTACAGACCCAACTATCGCCGCAGATCCTGTTCAGGAGTTTGTCTTTACTAGCTTAGCTAATCCACTCAGATATTTCCCATTCTGTGTAAAATAGTTGTAGTTCAGTCAGACCGGATGAAGAGCATCAGTTTGCTAGGCTCAGTTCTATTTCACCTGACCACCAGAGGGCGGTGCTGAAAGCACTGGATGTTTCCTTCATCTATACGCTGTTTGAGCAATTATACCATCTGACACCCTGGATGAGGTCCTGTAGAGGTTACAATCCAAAAAAAGTAAAAAAAAACATTCCACTGGACTTTGCCTCCAAGTTTAAAGACGTTTCGCTTCCCATCCAGGAAGCTTTTTCAATTTGAAATGTCAGAAATAGCATTGAGTTCGAGGCTGACATTTTCAATTGAAAAAGCTTCCTTGATGGGAAGCGAAACGTCTTCAAACTTGGAAAAATAGTCCAGTGGATTGTTTTTTGTGGGAATGACTATGACGTGGAAGGATGAGAATCTTCATCACCATAGATGTTAAAACGTTTTTTTAGGGCGTAACCCTGCTTTAAAGTCCTCTAGAACTTTCTCTCTGACCACTATACCGTGTTTTCTTAGTCCTCACCATGCTGGCCTTTCTTTAATGTTCTGTAAAGAACTAAGAGGCCTTCAGAGAACAGCTGCTACGTATACTGAGATTAAAAAAGANGGGGATGAAGATGTTGTGGAAGAGGACGCCAGGGCGGCAGAAGCTTGGTTTGGTGTAGAAGGCTTCCAGCCGTACATGTTTGAGCCCTTGCCTCACAACGCTGCCAGTTCTGTTAGCTCTACGCCTGCTGAAGACACAGACGTCCATCCCCGTGAACACTGGGACGGAACTCAATGGGAGAGGAAATGATTCTCATTTCTTATTTCAACCACTGCGTATATTAGCTGCGACACATGAATCAAGATGCTATGACCGAAAAAAAATTGATTGACAGATGACTGTGATATATGATTGGCCGAATTTAGGTGTTCAGGCTGACGTATAACTAACTGGCCTGCATAAGATAACGAAAAAAGCTCCAACAGATTTTAAGACAGGGTTTGATTTCAAAAACAGAAATTTTCTAAATTTTGGGACAATATGGTCTGATAAAGAGGACATTTATATACATGTTTAAGACAGAATGATTTGACATTTAAATATGATTTCGCTACGACTTTAAAGTTACTTTTCCAGAACAAAACGTAATAAATTTATTTCTATCTAACAAAAAACAATATAATGTTTGGGCTGGACCGCAGTAATGAAAATATAGAAGTTATAATGAGGTTTATTCTATGTGGAAAATAGGTACTTCATATGGATTATCTCTAGGACGACAAAAACATTATTCAGTTAAATGAATTTGCAAACATAACAGGAAAGACAAATCTTTTAAAGCTGCTAAAACATATCTATATATATATATATATCTATATATATATATATATCTATATATATATATAGATATATATATATAAAAAAATATGCTCAACGCTGATTAACTGTTAACTGACCCATCACGGACACGTCATACTCTATCAGCAGCGTGGCCTCCTGGCCGCACTGCTTCAGGATGCTCATGGCCTCTGACAGCGTGCTGCCATGGAGACGAATCCCATCTATGCTTAGCAACCGGTCGCCGGGCTTGATGGTCCCCTCTCTGCAGAACAACAGCAGGTTTTAGTTTGACAGAAGCGGGAAAAAGTCTGGGAGCTGAAGGAGTCGGTACCTCTCGGCTGGTCCGCCCGGCCTGATGGTTGTTATGACGATGGGGCGGGTCTTGTTGCGGTCCTCATGTGTCCCACCTGTAAGATTGTGCTACTTTATTTGTTTTTTCTTTTTCCTCACCAGATGAACTCACAAACCGATCCAAGCTCACCTCTGATGACGAAGCCGAAGCTGTTTCCTTCTTTGTGAAGCGTCACTTCCAGGTTCTTAAAAATGACGCCTGACCCCTGCACGGCTGCAGCAGAAACACAGCGGTATCAGTCATCGTCTGCAGCAACGTACTAAACATACAGTGCCCTGCTGCTAATACCCTGTTGGGCTTTTTCTAACTTTAATAAAGTTAACAACAAACATTACTGTATTTTATTGGGAATTTAACAGACAAACCGAAATAAAGATAAATAACTGATATGTGTAAATATTTCCTTGCAAAAAAAAAATCTGAAACGTGTGGCATGCATTGAGCCTCCTGAGTCGGTCCTGTACAGACCCAACTATCGCCGCAGATCCTGTTCAGGAGTTTGTCTTTACTAGCTTAGCTAATCCACTCAGATATTTCCCATTCTGTGTAAAATAGTTGTAGTTCAGTCAGACCGGATGAAGAGCATCAGTTTGCTAGGCTCAGTTCTATTTCACCTGACCACCAGAGGGCGGTGCTGAAAGCACTGGATGTTTCCTTCATCTATACGCTGTTTGAGCAATTATACCACCTGACACCCTGGATGAGGTCCTGTAGAGGTTACAATCCAAAAAAAGTAAAAAAAAACATTCCACTGGACTTTGCCTCCAAGTTTAAAGACGTTTCGCTTCCCATCCAGGAAGCTTTTTCAATTTGAAATGTCAGAAATAGCATTGAGTTCGAGGCTGACATTTTGAATAGAAAAAGCCTCCTAGATGGGAAGCGAAACGTCTTCAAACTTGGAAAAATAGTCCAGTGGATTGTTTTTTGTGGGAATGACTATGACGTGGAAGGATGAGAATCTTCATCACCATAGATGTTAAAACGTTTTTTTAGGGCGTAACCCTGCTTTAAATTCCTCTAGAACTTTCTCTCTGACCACTATACCGTGTTTTCTTAGTCCTCACCATGCTGGCCTTTCTTTAATGTTCTGTAAAGAACTAAGAGGCCTTCAGAGAACAGCTGCTACGTATACTGAGATTAAAAAAGACACATACTATCTACTACTGAGCTGATTCTACAGGCAGTTGTTTGCACTGAAATTATTTAGGGGTATCAAAGTAAAGGGGCTGAGAATCTTTTTTGTTTTTTTAAAGCTTCATTTTATGTTCTGCTTTATGTGGATTGATAATATAAAACCCTAACAGGATAAACTGAAGCTTTGCTCCAAGTTTAAAATGTCTTTCATCAGGGGTGAAAACTTTAGAAGGCTCAGTGCAGTCCTGTATCCTAGCTACCAGGCTTTTAAAGCGATCTTTATCAGCAGTTCTTCTAATATTCTGAAGGTCTGGATTCCTGGTAGCCTAAAGCAACATCTGAATCTGTTAAATGGATTCCAGCCTCTTGGAAGGAGAAATAAAAGGATCTGGTTTATGCATGGACTCTGTCACTTACAGACGGGCGGCAGCTCGTACTCCACCTCCAGCACCACTCGCTCCCCGACGTTCTTCAGCAGGCTGATGATCTCGTCGTGCCTGAACTTGGCCAGGTTGATGCCGTTAACGGCGCGGATGTAGTCGCCCACGTTCAGCTGGTCGCTCCTGTTCAAACACAGAGATTATAATCCGAAATCCTATATTTAAATCTAAGACAAACCGAGCCTAATTCACCTGGCAGCGATCCCTCCCTGTCGCAGGTTAGAAACCCGAGGCTTCCCGTCTTTGTCAATCCCTCCTGAAACGGTGAGTCCGAGTGTCGTTCCCTCCTTCTTCATCAGCTCTACTACCGTGCATCCCCGAAACTCATCTGGAAAACAGATCACTGCTCATCAGCATCATCGTCACTGTTTACTCTTCCCTATCTGCCCTGATTCCACAGACAGAGAACTGGAATAATAACCCAGACAAACAGAAAAGAAGTCATCTCCTCTTCTGTCGGCCATCTATTTTTAATCAAAGCGGTGAATTATTCAGCAGAGGAGAGCTAAGCGCAGGGATATTTCATAGCTGCTACAGCGTGATGCGGACTGTCCTCAGGTGATATAACAGAAATCTGGATTTCACTTAATCGTTGGGATTTTAATATTAATGAGTCAGGGATTCCGCCTACTTCGTTCAGGCAGGATTACGCCAGCGTCGGCTTCTGAAGAGCAGGAACACTGACTGCAGCTAAAAAAAGAAGACCTCAGTCCTTTGATTCTGCTCGCATGTTTGATGAACCAGTTTCCTGCAGCTGTAGATGAACAACCTCTAAAATTGTTCTCAAACCCCCTTTTTTATGCACTTAAAAGGAGCTGAAGAAGAAAAACAGCCTCGCAGGAGCAGATTTCTACCAAAGCAGCACTATTTCTGTAGATAAGCTCCTTTGCAGGCTGAATTGGGAGCTTCTTCTGTTCTGTTTGCTTTCAGTGCTGAAGAAGCAGCTCTGAACCTTCGCTGTACCAGGAGCTCAACCTGCGGCGCTTTCATTTTAACTCGGATTTCATGAAAAAACACAGAAAACAAAACATTTAAGCTGCAGAACCAAATCTGTGCATCTCAACAGGGAATTAACATTTAATGGAAGGTAACTAAAATAAATCTTAAAAGCACTGAATTAAACACATATAAAGCACTTTTTAATAAAATCAGTAAAACAAATAAAAAACAATAAAACTATATAATTCAATTTATTTAAATTACACATCCATACACTCTCTGCTTTTTCTCAAAGTGGCTTCATCTGGTCTGTTCCTGTTTGGCTGTGACTCCATCCTGGAGAGAAATATCAGCTGTGCTGCTGCCATCAACATCTTTGTTTATAGATGTTGGAGCTCGGCCTGTTTTCCAGTGTAGTCCTGTTTCTCTGACTGTGACTAACTGGATGTGCTCTCTTCATCCTCTGACATGGGAGCTGGCTCGGAGCTCGCCTGCCTGGCTGTGTGTTTCCTGGAGGTCAGCCTCGGCAGATGGCCGCTCACACTGAGGTTTATTTCTGTTAAAAGGGAGTTTTTCCTCTCCACTGTCGCTACAAGCATGCTTAGTGTTCAATCAACTGGTTTTCCTTAGATAGAAAACTTTGAAACAATTTGACTGGATAATCTGGTGAACTTTAAAGAGCCTTGAGATGACGTGTTGTGAATTTGTGCTATATAAATAAACTGAATTGAACATAAATTTAATTTTATAAACTAAGCGAAAATAAAATAGAAAACTAAGAACATTTTAGATTTAATAATCATTAATTAAATATAAAAGAAGCAAAAAAGTAAGCTAAAACTTTTTTTGATATAATACAGTTTTTGAAACTCAAAAAATAAAAAATAAACCACAATGAAAATAAAAATTATATAAATAACACTGTAAAATAATGTTAAAAAAATAAGATATTTAAATAAATATATAGAAAAAAGTAAATAAACGTTAACAAAAGAAGGTAAAATATATGGTTTATTATAAAGCCATAAATATTCTAATAAGAATCAAAACATCTGAGCTCATAAATAAAAAATATCTATATAAACAAAGGAAATAAAAATACCGTTCAACAAATAAAGAAGTGGAAACTACAAAAAGGATTTCATTGATGCTTTATCTTTCCTTCTCACAGGTCTACAGGATTTATTACTGATGCTTCTCTTCCACTAGTTTCTGTTAAAAACTATTTACTCTAAATATCTCAGGAGCTGCTTCCTAAACCTCAACCAGTTAATAAATTTCAGGGTTCTGGAGGATTTCTGACATTAATCTGGACACTGAATGCAGCATCCAGACAGGAAACAGATTTAGGACAGCAGCTCCAGGTGGGAGGAGGTTCCTTCCTATAACTAATGGGATGGAAATCATCAGCTGTCTGAATGCTCCAGTTCCAGCTGCTGTCTTCATTCCTCCTAACTGGAGGAACTCAAAGCAGCAGGATGATGGTGGCTGTGTTACCTGGTATGCTCTGCCTCCTGATGGCCAGCGCTCCATCTGGAGGTCGGGATCCAGCCGAGTGCTTCGTGTACGGCCCTTCATCTGAAAGGACAACAAACTCTGTATTATTTCACAACTAAATATCTAATTATCAGAAGCTCATTTGACAAGATTCAGATCTTTAAAACACCAAACTGATTTTAGTGGGTTCATATATCCATCAAAGGCTGATACTTCAACAAGTTTTTTTTTTTTCTTTTTTAATAAACCAGTTTTATTTCATGAACTAAAACTAATGGTCTTTTTTGCCCACAAAAAAATAGGCAATATTAAAAAAAAAAAATCTAAAGAATGACACAAATGAATAAAACGAGTGAAAAAACTACAACTATGGATGGACAGTATTTTCAACATCCATCCATTTCATCACGCTTTATCCCTGCTGGGGTCGAAGGCCTCAGAGTACCACAGAGACAAACACCTAAGGAGAATTTAGAGACGCCAATGAACCTTACGCTCATGTTTTTGGACTGTGGGAGGAAGCTGGAGTACCCAGAGAAAACTCACGTATGCAAAGGGAGATCATGCAAACTCCATGCAGAAAGACCCCGTGCCGGGAATTGAACCGGGAACCTTCTTGTTCCTGTTCCCTAATTAGCAAACCTTAGATTATCTCATCAGGATCACAACATAGACTTTTTTTGCCCGGTTAAAAAAAAACAACATTTAGTTTGTTGCTCCTGATTGAGTAAAAGTGAACATTGTGATGAGATCCTTTCAACACCATCATCCCACAGAATCTGATAGGAAAACTGGAACAGCTGGGCTTCAATACACCCTCTGCTATTGGCTGCTAGACTTCCTCACCAACAGTCCTCAGTCAGTCCAGGTCGGACAGAAAACATCTGATGTCATCAGTCTAAGCACATGCTCCCCTCAGGGCTGCGTCCTGAGCCCCCTGCTGTTCACACGATGATGACACACGAATGCGTCCCCAGGTTCACCACTAATCACATCATAAGGTTCGCAAGGCCTCATCAGTGACGACAATGACCTGGACTACAGAGAGAAGGTGGAGCAGCTGGTGGTGCAAAGATAACAGCCTGATCCTGAATGTGGAGAAGATGAAAGAGATCATCTTGGACTTCAGGAAGAACCGTCCTAACCACGCTCCACTGGTCATCAACAGTTCAGCTGTAGAGGTGGTCAGCAGCACCAAATTCCTGGGAGTGCACATCACAGACACCCTCACCTGGACTGGAAACACCACCTCACTGGTCAAAAGGACACAAAAGCGCATGTACTTCTTGCGGAGGATGAGTAGAGCCCACCTGCCCCCACCCATCCTCACAACCTTCTACAGAAGCACTAAAGAGAGCGTTCTGACCAGCTGTCTCACTGTGTGGTGTGGAGGCTGCAGCACCTCAGACTGGAAGAAGGTGAGGAGAGTGGTAAGAAGAGCAGAGAAGATCATCAAGGCTCCTCTTCCCTCCATTAAAGACATTTCATCCCAGCACTGCATGTCCTGAGCCCATAACATCATCAATGACCCCTCACAGCCCAACCATGGACTGATCTCCCTGCTGCCCTCTGGGAAGAGGCTTCACAGCATTCAATGCAGGTCCAGCAGATTCTGCAACAGCTTCTGTACCTCCATATCAATAGGTTCAAGAAAAGAGAGAAATAGAGCTAAATGTTTAGAGACTTTTTAAGGAGAATCTTTTTAACTTCATGACATCATGAATTGGATTAAATGATTATGTGTTAAAAAGTATTTACATTATTTGTTTCTGTTTTCAAGCACATCTCAATTTATTCTAGTAATTTTTTGCAGATGTAAATATGAGTATTAAGATGTTGTAGGATAACTTTGAAGAGTCAGAACCTCCAAAGAAACTGAAGGTAGAGGAGCAAATGATTTTAGATGGAGACAGGATGCTTATTTTACTTAATATTTAGCCAAATTAAGGAAAATACAATTGTTAAAAATTTTCTATTTAGCTACACAACACATTTTTTTTTATATATATACACATTTGATTTGACTAAAGGTTAAAATTTATTCCTCAGATTTGAATAAATCAATTTACATTCCAGATAATCAATCTATTGTCTTAATAACTTAAGACTATTTGATGATGTTTGCTCAGATTTGTCAGTGGAAGATAACAACTGATTGATTTAACAAAGTATTGAGATGTTAATCAGGATTTTTACCCCTCAGATATTCCAAAAACTTATACATCTAATAGTTTTCCTAAAAACTTTCTAAAAAGTCAGAGTTTTCCATCAAACCCAGAGCAATGCGTGTCTGTGTTTTATCTCTTTCTTGATTTTTGATGTTATTATATTTGGGTTTCCAGCCGGGCTGTAATTTATTCTAATCTGATCTGGATCAGCTCCGTTCGGTTCCAGCAGCCGGGCTCCGAAGTTAAACTAGATTCCGAAAACACTGCAGGGTTGTTTTTTTTTCCCAGCCTTTCTGAGGACATTACTTTCCAGGAGGTTCAGCCTGAACTGAAGCTTTTGTGTTTTTGAGCCTGAATGTTCCCTGAAGGGGAACCCTGATCCTTAATCCATGTCTACCTAATATAATTTCTGGATTATATTTATTTACTTTGCTAAATTAAATCCCCTGAATGTGACTATATCAGGTTTAGGTCCCCAGTAGATCTGTATATGAAGCAAACGCACATTCAGACCATATCTAAGTGAAGATGAAAGCCTCCTCCTCCTCCTCCTTCAGATGTAGGGCAGCAGCATCCAGCCCTTCCTGTGCTCAGCGACACTACTATACACTCCATTTGCAAACATGCTCTACAGGAAGCTGCGTTCTTAACACTGAATGTGTCTCTATAACATGCTGCTGATGCATGACGGTAAGATTAAAGGTTTGGGTGAAACGCTGAAGCAGGTTTCTTGAGCTTCATGAGGAAAGAATAAATCTGCCTTTGCAGTAATGCGAACACATAAACAAGGAAATTTATATATTTGTTGGATTAGGTGACTTTAAAATCAGGTAAATCCATCTTCAGATGAACAACAAACATGACCCTTTTCATCATGCCATTATTTATTGAACAGAAACTAACCAAAAAGCAGGAGCGGTGAGTAAAAAATCGAGTCTATCCTTCACTACATGACAGAAGCAGCGGCTGGGAGAGGCTCTCTGAACGCTTGGAAAAGGAGGAGTCTTGTTAACACAATGTCACGACGGAAAGGCATCAGAATCACCTCAAAGAAGGAGAGTTATTGTGAATCAGAGTTTAAAATGAGACAAATCTTCCTCCGTGCATTTGGTGATTGACAGGTAACCTGAAAGTAAAACCTCTACATACATTATAAAAAAAAAATCCAATCTTCGGTCTATATAAGCACAGAGTGACAGGAAGTTCTCTTTCTTCATTTGCTGTTAGCTTTCAAATCGTATTGTCGATCAAAGAAGCTGCAGCACATCTAATCTATTTGTCTTAATTCCTTCAATTCATTAAGAAACTTCAGATCTGGTTGGTGAATCTTTAGTTGCTCATTAGTCGGCTGTTTTCTGACTACATAAAGTCCGTACTAGGGATGGGACGATTTATGAAAACCGTCCGAACCGTTTGGTTTGACTGTCTCGGCTCGATACGCGTGTGTTTTGTTCGGTTCATGCGCTGCTCCTTTTTCTCATAGGGGAAGCGTTTACACTCCAGAGCAGAAGGTGGCGGTA